CTTTCCTGCTCCTCTGATGCTGCCTGGCCTGCTGTGTTCCTCCAGCTCCACATTGTGTTATCTCCTTTAAACTTTCCCCCTTTTACCTTAAACCTATGTCCATTGGTAATTGTACCCTGGGAGAAAAGCTCTGACTGTTCATTCTAATTCTGCCTTGTAGTTTTCTTGATATATTCTAAAGACGTTAAGAATAGAAGAAAACAAAATGTTCTTGGACCAGGTGGGACATTTCGAAACAGAGATTGGATGTGATCATTATTATAGGTTCTGTAGTTTCCACAGGGCCCAAACTTGTGCATGTAGTGCCAGGGAGAATGGACCCAGGATCTAAATATACCAGGTCGCAGCCAGATGCTCAGAGACCATTTCTAAACTTGGTGCACTCCTGACCACAGCCCTCATTATAAGCATTATCCACTGGAATCAGCCAAACTGTTGTTGCCTCCGTGGAATCTGAGTCTGGATCCAGGGCCGAAATGCTGAGCTCTGTGGCTACTAAAGAGTAGGCTGCCTGTAGGCAGAGGAGAAGACCATTCAACCCCAGAAACATCAGCCTCTTTCAACGAGATCATGGTTGATCTGCATCTGAACTCCAACTAGCTCCCTCTGTTGTATGTCCTCTAATAGCCCTGGTGAATGGTTTTGGTGCCCTTTGTGATGAAGGGTGTACTTGCCTTGAACGTGACACACTGGAATTTCACTGGGTGGCTCCTGAGAGGAAGGTGTAGGAGTGTACCCCTCAACTGGGGACAAAGACTCAGGAGACAGACAGGATTCAGGCAAGTGGCGGACTTTTATACAAGCAAGAACCAGTTAATGCAGGGAAAGGGTCAAAGGATCTTCCCTGAATCTAGCCTCGATGTGAGAACACAGTTATTCCCTTAATCTTTGGCTCAAATCGAAAGAAAGATCAATGACACACTCTGATTTTTACAGTTAAATACAACATTTTTATACATTTTCTGTTACATTAATCACATACAATGTGGTCAATTTGTCCTTGCCCCGATTCCATACACCCAATCTGTTGAAACACCTGATCAATGATGGGCATTCCTATGGACAGCCCTAGGTTCCCATGGTCTGTTGGTGTTTAACAGACATTGTTAATCTCCAGGCCTTGGGATCTTTCTATGCATCTTATTAATTAGCATTCCAAAGTTACTGATTATACTCCTGGTCTGTCCCTGACTTGCTTCTCTCTAAGGACTGGTTGAATTCTGTTATCCATTGTATTCCATGTGCTACCTTGATCAAATTCAATTATTCCTCTTGTATTTTCCATTGTTTAAAAAAAATACAAAAGACAGTTGGTTTTAACCAACTGCTATAAGATTCGTCGTATTAATTTCTGTTATAAGGTTAGTTAGTAAAGTGTAAAGTTATACAACTACTTCTACTGTTAGCACTTTGTCACTAATAAGTTGCGACCAATTCATTTCATTCAGGGCATGCCAGGCATCCTTTTAGAGATAAGGGAAAGTGTTTCTTGAGATCAATTAACTTTCTCATCTAGGTTTAAATGTTTTTTCCCCTAATGTTTCTATTAATACTTTGGTTGTAGTGTATCTACACTTATGTTGAAATCTATCTCTATGATTGTCTGAAGAATCTTTAACTAGAACCTATTTCTTGATATTGTGAATAACTTCAAGGAACAACTAATTACTACAAAATAACTTTAGCTGTTGTCTTCACAGCTGCTTAATGAGTTAGGCTGGCTGGTTTGTGGGCTGTTATTTACACTCCTTGTTCTAACTGGTGCTGTTCACCTAATGGGACAAATCCTTTCATTAATGAGGCTGGAATCAATCACTTGAGTAGCCTTAGGCATCCTCTGATCGAACTATCTCAGATGGATACTTGCAAGGTCTTGGAGTAGCCCTGTTTAAAGGTACCATTATGATTCACTTAATGTAAGAGCAGGCTGTCCCATTTTGTTTTAATCCTTGTTGGCCATTTTGTGTCTTTCAAACATGGGCCGCTCTTAAAGAAGAGTTGATCTATGATGAGAAATCAGTAATTTGAGCCTACACATTGAAATTTAGAAGCTAACAGAAGCTAATAATCAGCTTGCTAACCCTTTAAAACCTTCCCGAAAATTCCTGAAAGGGGAGGAAGTGTGCATGAAGAGAGGTGAAAATGCATGATCAAGACAGATTGAACTCACCTATGGACACTCTAATTGTTCCATTAAATCACTATAGCGTAAGTGCAGTATCTAACACTTTGGTTATCAATGCCACAGACAAAATCTTAAATATTCATGCTTCTACCGTCAGCTCACTGTCAGTGCTGTGTGCACTATCTACAAAATGTGCTGGAGCAGCTCCACAAAACTTCTTCGACACATCTCCAATATCCAGAAGAACAAGAGCATCAGACCATTGAAATTATTACTGCAATTTTCCAGAAAGTTGTAACTGAATGTACAACTGGAGCCAATATTTGCACACTTTTCAAGGCATTCACTTATAGAGATACACTTTACAAGCATTCACCTCCTAACGTAACAATCACTCCACTTTTCTACTCTGTTCTTCTATAAAATGGCACAAGTAAATCCCAGATAGTGTCCACAACTTGCATGCAAGGAAATACAATTATGCTCTGAGCTGCACCATCCTGATTTGGAAATATATCGCCATTCTTTCAGTGGTCCTGAGTCAGAATCCAGCTTAGGTTGGGGGTCCGTTCAAACCTAAAGGACATATATATTTAATATTTACTCAGAAACACAATGAAGAGTTGAGGAGCAACCATGTCAGCCAAAGAGTTCTTAAAATGTGGAACTTGCTACAGCATGGAGTAATTGAACATCGATGCATGAGGTAGATGAGTACATGAGGGAGAAAGTAATAGAAAGCTATGTTGATGCAGTGAGACAGTGTTGGAGGAGGCTCTTAGGTGGAATATCAAGACCACCATCCATCTAACAGACTGATGGCCTGTTTCTGTGCTGCAAAGTTTATGCAATATGGATTATTAACAGCAAGTTACAAGCGTTGGCTCAAGTGGGAGCCTGTGTTGTCCAAGTTTGTTCAATCGAGCTGTGGAGCAGTTGCTGTGATCTCTTTCCCTCTTCACTTCAGATGTGGACGAGTGTGAGGATAAAGATGTGTGTGGCAGGAATGCAACCTGTCATAACTCTGTTGGGAGTTACCACTGTATCTGTCGGGCAGGATTTCATCCAGTTCCAGAACAGACAGGAAAGACCTGCACAGGTAATGGCAATGATTAATACGCAGGGCTGCATGGAAATGTTTATTGGCACTGGAGGTTTGGATGATTGGGCTTTTGTGTATGTTGGGGTGGTGGTGGTGGTGGTGGTGGTGGTGGAGGTGGAGGTGGATGGGGTCAGCTTGGTGAGGTCAGCTACACATATTGGGGTAGAAATTAGTTTGGGCCCATTACTCGGCCTAGGCTCGTGATGTACAGGTACTTTCCTGATAGACCATAGATGTCTGAGGCCTACGGCCCCAGAGAAATTTTGGGCAACTGGCAATGACTGTGAGCTCAGTTCTGTGGAGGAGAGGATCAGAAAGGGTAATGGTGGGAACGTTAGGATATCAGAAAACTTGTAGAGCTGAAATTAACTTCATCTTCAGTTGCTGGTTTCCAAGAATCATGAGTTTGATGCTGAGGAGCACATTTTATTTACATGCCTTCCCACAGATGCTACATCCCTCTTTGACAGAATTACAGGAGTTAATGGATGCTGAAAAATTGATCTTCATTAATTTATAATTTGGACTAATCTCTAAACAGGCTAGTTGGTATTGTGTATGTCAGTTTGGGTCAGTTCAGACCCCACTCTGGGTTAGAAGAGCAGTGATATGAAACGCCATGCCAGGATTTGAGAGTGTAATCTAAGCTGATGCTCCTCCCTTCCCAAGCCCCAGTGCTGTGCTGAGGGAGTCCTGCACTGTTGGAGGAGCATCCTTTAGATGAGATGTCAAAACTGGGTTCCATCTGCCCATTCAGATGGTCATCAGTAATCCATAGTAGGAAGATGGCAGAGTTTTTAACTGGGCACTAATGTTGAAAGATCTCTTAACTACTCTAATTTTTACAGTGCAACCTCTCAACTGTCCCAACCCAGAAAAACCAAACAATTCCACCCTCACACAGTGTAGTGGGAAGCATTCACAAGCCCTCAAACAGGTATGTGACCCATATTGTTCTATTCTCAAACTGACTCACTCATTATGCTTACTGGCGTACATTTCTTTGTACCCACGATATTTGATTTAACATGAACACAGATTTGAAATGGCTGCAGGATGATTATAATGGTCACTGTAATGTTTGCAGGTTTAAAAGGTTGAACGAAAGAAAATAATATTTTAAAAATCAGCAGTTAACTTCCCGGGAAACTAGAACTTCCTTGTTATCTAGCATCAGAATGTTCAAATTAAAAGAGACGTCATTTGGAAGCTTTTCCCCTGCTGTGATAAGGACAACTCAACCACTGAATATTTATCTCTTTTGGTTTGCCCCTACAACCTGATCCCCCACCTCATTCATTGGAACGAGGCCTGGGAAGCCACTCTGTTCCCAGAGAGGTTCAAATTTTCTTGTCTTTAGGCTTGGTTGTCAAATGAGATGTTAAACGCAGATCCCATGTGCCTTCATGGGCAGAACCAAGATCACAGTGGCACTCCTGTGGAGAAAGCACAAGGGAGCTTCCAGTAATGTCCAAGTCAAGATTTAGTCCTCAATACGAAATGTTAAATAGTTTATCATTATCTAAGCACTTGGCATTGCTGTTTATGGGAACTTCCTGTGTGCAAACTGGGGTGTTACTTTTTCTGCATTACAACTGTGACAAAAGCAACATCATGGACAAAACAGCTACACTCCAGAGGTGAGAGCAGAGTGACTGCCCTTGGCATAAAGTTGACATTTGACCACGTTTGGCATCAAGGAGCTCCAGCAAAACTAGACTCATTCACAATCAGGGGAAACTCTCTGCTGGTTTAAGTTGTAGCTGGCACAAAGGAAGATGGTTGTGATTGTTGGAGATCTGTCATCCCAGCTCCAAGACATCTAAGCCCAACCGTCTTCAGCTGCTTCATCAGTGAATATCTGTCCATTGTGAGTGAGGATGTTCACACAATGTTCAGCGCCATTCATGACTCCTCAGTTACTGAACCATGTCCATATGCAGCATAATCTGGACAACATTCAGGCTTGGGTTTATAAGTGGCAAGTTGTATTCACACTGCACAAGTGACAGGTAATGACTATCTCCGACAAGAGAAAGTCTGAACATGACGTTCAATGGCATGACCATTGCTGTATTACCCACTATCCATATCCTGGGAGTTACCATTGACCAGAAATTGAATTGGACCGGCTGTATAATTTCAGGGGCTACCAAAGCAGGTCAGTCCTGCAGTGAGTAAGTCATCTTCTGACTCTCCAAATCCTATACACTAATCCATGAAACACAAGTCAGATATGTGGAGGAATATTAAATAAAAACTGAAAGAACTGCAGATGCTGTAAATGAAAAACAAAAACAGAAGTTGCTGGAAACAGGCCTGGCAGCATTTGTGAAGAGAAATCAAAGTTAATGTTTTGCGTCTGGTGACCTTCCTCAGAATTAATGGTAGCTAGGAAGATGTTGGTGTGGTGGAATATTTGCCTGGATAAGTGTCATTCCAATAGCACTCAAGAAGCTGGATACAGTTTAGGATAAAGCGGCCCACTTGATTGACTTCCCATTAACCACGTTCAACATTCTCCCTCCACCAGTGATGCACAGTGGGAGTAAAGTACACTATTAACAAGATGCACTGCGGCAATTCACCAAGACTCCTACGGCAGCAACTGGAAAAATTGTCACCTGTAGGACAGGGGCAGCTGACGCTTGGGAGCATCACCAACCTCCAGGTCACAAACCATCCTAACTTGGAATGCCCACACATCCTATACCAACAAGGTTCCCTGACACTGATATCATGAACTCCAGTGAGATAGAACTAGACTGTCTGATGTAGTCCCAGTGTCACCACTAGCGACATAAGCAACGTCATGTCCCTTATTTCCAGATGCTACAAAGTTGATTCTCCAGGCTTTTGCTCTTGGGACTGTTGCTTTTGTGGATTTTCTTGGTTGATTTGTCCAGTAATGGTTATCAATGAGAAGGGGTGATTTTTAACTATTGTCTTGTTCCACTGTCTAGCCAAACTCTGAGGGTAATGGGTCTTGCTCCGCAATAGAAGCAGCTCACCGATTACTTGATAGAGTCTGTCAGAATTTCAGCTTCACAGACGATATCCAGGTAAGGAATTATAGGCCAGTATTTTTATTTGTTGCAAAAGTGACATGGTTCTGCTGCAGATTGTTCTACTCTGCAAAGCCAGTCAGTGAAGAATGATACCAGAGACAAGCTGAAAGTAGACCTACATTTATTTACAGAGTGAAACAGTACAAGCATGTTCCTCCAAACTCAATCAACTATAGTTTCAGTGAATGTCTCTAAGTTTTAAAATTTTTTAATGTTTTTTAATTGACCTTTTTTTAAATCAACCTGTTCAGAGATGTTATCACACTCCTCTGGCGCCCGTGGGACTTGAAGCCGGTTCTGTCAGTCGAGGGGTACGGACACAACCAGTGTACGACAAGATGGCCTTTGAATATCTCTTTCTATGGACTCAATTGAGACCCAAATTAATGCTTTCTATCAGCACATAGTCAAACACAGTTGGTAAACAATTAAAACAATGGGCTAAACCAGCCTTCCATCGAATGACTCCACCTACAGTTCCCGCTGCCTCGGGAAAGCAACCGACAGAATCAAAGACCCTTCCCGCACTGGTTATACTTGCTTCGATATTTTACTTTCGGGCAGAAGATATAGAATTTTGTATACACATATGAATTGATTCAAGAACAGCTTTTCTCCACTTTTATTAGACTTCTGAATGGACCTCTCAAATTTTAAACTTAATGTTGATCTCGCTGCCTGTGCACCTTATCTGAAGCCATAACATTGTATTCCTCGGTCTATTCTATTACCATATGTACTTTGTATGGTTTGGTCTGCCTGTTCTGCATGCAAAACATAACTGTTCACTGTACTCAGGTACGTGTGGCAATAATAAATCAAATCAAATGAGTTAATCTGATCATAGAATCCCCTAGAGTGTGGAAATGGGCCCTTCAGCCCAACAAGTCCACACTGACCCTCAGAGCATCATACCCAGACACATCCCCCAATCTACACATCCCCGAACACTATGGGCAATTTTAGCATGGCCAAGCCACCTAACTTGCACATCTTTGGACTGTGGGAGGAAACCGGAGCACCTGGAGGAAACCCATGCAGACACGAGGAGAATGTGCAAACTCACACAGACAGTCACCCGAGGGTGGAATCAAACCCGGGTCCCTGGCGCTGTGAGGCAGCAGTGCTAACCACTGAGCCACCGTGCCACCCCAGACATACACCAGATACACCAGACATCCACGTATTCCAAAATATGGATAACATAGGCTAGACCCCAGCTCTGTCTTTGTCCTGGGATTGCACCTGACTTCATTTTAAGCTTGTTGCAAGCAAGGGTGAGTCATTTGCTCGACCTGTCAGGCAAATGTACCTAGGATGTACCTAGGTTTGTATAGGACTTTGGTTCGACCACATTTGGAATACTGCGTACAGTTCTGGTCACCACATTACCAAAAGGATGTGGATGCTTTAGAGAGGGTGCAGAGCAGGCTCACCAGGATGTTGCCTGGTATGGAGGGCGCTAGCTATGAAGAGAGATTGAGTAGATTAGGATTATTTACATTAGAGAGACGGAGGTTGAGGGGGGACCTTATTGAGGTCTACAAAATCATGAGAGGTATAGACAGGGTGGATAACAAGAAACTTTTTCCCAGAGTGGGGGATTCAATTACTAGGGATCACGATTTCAAGGTGAGAGGGGAAAAGTTTAAGGGAAATATGCGTGGAAAGTTCTTTACGCAGAGGGTGGTGGGTGCCTGGAACGCGTTGCCAGTGGAGGTGGTAGAGGCAGGCACGATAGCGTCATTTAAGATGTATCTAGGCAGATACATGAATGGGCAGGGAGCAGAGGGATACAGATCCTTGGAAAATAGGCGACAGGTTTAGATAGAGGACCTGGATCAGCGCAGGCTTGGAGGGCCGAAGGGCCTCTTCCTGTGCTATAATTTTTTTTGTTCTTTGTTTGTTTGTTCATTTGGCATTTTACAAACTTCCTTTCGAAGGGGATAACAAGCTGTAGAGCTGGATGAACACAGCAGGCCAAGCAACATCAGAGGAGCAGGAAGGCTGACGTTTTGGGCCTAGACCCTTCTTCAGAAAATGATTCAGAAAATGGCCTCCTTTGGCACCATTACAATTCTGTGATTCTGTGAAAATGCCTACTTTGGCTGTTTCTCTTTAATTTCAAAGTTTCTTTTTGTGAATTGCAGTTCACTGCTGTTGTGATATTTTACAACAAATAGTAAGAGAGAGGGGCATTAACCTCATTTATTGAGGCAGATAATTGGCAATCACAGGTGGAGGGGGTGGAGTGTTGAAACAGGGAAGGACGAACAAGGGAGCGGAAAGAAAGATTCCAAGACATTCACTGTGACAGGGGTGTGGGAAAAGGAGGTGAGAAAGCAAAAAAAAATAATTGAGGAGGAAACGGTTCATAGATAAAAGGAATGAGAGAAAATGAATATAAGAAGGCAAATAAAACAGACCCATGAGTTCAAGAAGCCATTTCTTTTTCTATCCTTAGGCTGTCACAAACTTGACAAATGGTTTCCTCAATAGGAATTCACGGCTACAGAACATGACGGCCAGTCAACGGTTAAATGTCGTAACGACCATCTTGGATCTTTTGGAGAATACGGCAATGGCTATTGCTTTGACTTTGCCCAGTGGAGGAAGAAAGTCAATCTCAGAAGACTCTTTTGGTAAAATATTACTCAGTACAAATACTAACATTCTAGATGTCAAGTGGACACAGAAGGAGTCATTTAATCAAAGGCAAGGTTGTTTATTTCTGGTTTTATGGTCTGCACTTTCTGAGCCAATTGGCACTTTAATTAAAGAAATGTGTCAGTTAAAATGGTGACATCTGATTAAAAATTTTAAACAATGTTTCCTAGAATTGTTTTGAGTAACATGTAGAAACATTATTGTCAATGAGGCTGTGTCTTAGAGCTGAGCAAGTTCCTAGATCATATTTGATTATCACATTTCCACAGAAACACTGCTAAGGAAATTGATACCAATCTGAGTTCCTGTTTCTGAACACAAGGCCATTCAACATAGAACAGAATTAGTCCATTTCTGCCTTCTCCCCGTAACCTTTGATCACCTTCCTATTCAAGAACCTACCTACCTCTGACTTAAAGACACTCAATGACTTGGCCTCTGCAGCCTTCTGTGGCAATGAGTTCCACAGTCACCACCCTTTGACTGAAGATATTCCTCCTCATCTCAGCTCTAAAATGTCATCCCTTCGCTCCGAGGCTGTGCCCTTTGGTCCTAGTCTCTCCTACTATTGTAAATATTGTCTCCACATCCACTCTATCCAGGCCTATCAGTATTCTGTAAGTTTCAATGAGATCCTCCCTCCTCCTTCCAAATTCACATGTATCGGTTCTTGAAAAGTGACTGTCTGTGAATATTGGTTGTAAACAGGTTTCTACCTCCTTTTCCCACACCCCTGTCACGGTGATTGTCTTGGAATCTTTCTTTCCGCTCCCTTGTTCGCCCTTCCCTGTTTCAACATTCCACCCCCTCCACCTGTGACTGTGAATTATCTGCCCCAATAAATGAAGTTAACACCCCTCTCTCTTATTATTTGTTGAAACATATCACAACAGCAGTAAGCTGTGCTGTGACTCAGTGTTTGTGTGCCGCTTCTGGGCCTCAGTGGGTTATTTTAATGCCTGTCAGGGAGACGATTGGGTTATGTCTCACTCCAGAGGCTTTGAGCACAAGATCATGGCAGATAATCACACTGCAGTTCTGAGGAAGCATACACTGCCGGAGGGACTGTCTTTCACATTGGACATGAAGTTCACATTCCTCAGCATTTTGAAGCAATCACATCGATCAGCAGATTTTTGGTTTCAGGTTTTGCAAATGCAGGCTGGTTAGTTGGGGTCTCTAAATGGCCTGTTATAATCAACAGAAGGAACATTCTAAACAAAGACAGAAATTGCTGGAAAAGCTCAGAAGGTTTGGCAGCATCTGTGAAAAGAAATCAGGGTTAACATTTTAGGTCTGGTGACTCTTCCTCAGACGACCTGCTGAGCTTTTCCAGCAATTTCTGTTTTTGTTTCTGATTTACAGCATCCACAGTCTTTCGGTTTTTATTTAGGAAGGAACGTCCTGTTTCATTCAGTCAGATACTTGTTGAGATACGTAGGCTACATACCAGGTTCTGCACTAACACTGAAATTCATGCATAACATTGTTCGGTTATCTACTAGGTGGAGTGTCCTGAGCGTGGTAATAGCAATGCTAACAACCATTGTTAAGAGAGTCAGTCAAGCTTGCAACATGGCTCATTTACACATGCGAGAAACAACATACATTAATGCACAGGGACTCATTCTCTGCAAACAAAGGAATATGTTTGACAACAAACAGACAGTGCTGGGGAAATTCAGTAGAGTTTGGTAGCATTCTGTGAAGAGAAAAAGAGTTTATGCTTCGAATTCGATCTGACTCTTCTTCAGAAGTAATGAGCTTGATGTCTCAGGCTGAGTGGGCAAAGTGCAGAAAAGGAAGCCAGGGATGCTCTGAGTATCTAGGTAGGCTCGGAATGAATCATCGAGTAATGTCAAAGACAAGTAAACCTGTGAGAGAGAAAGACGCATGGCAATTTCAATAGGCACTGCATTCTTCACAAGGTCTTATCTTTACTTTTAGCTGCTAAGATCTGGGTGTCTGATAATCAAAGTATGCCAGACGAGTTGGTACGAATCGAGGTCTGGAATAATACCATGGAGATAAACTGGAGAACGATCATAGGAGCAAAGAACTCTGGTAAATGTTTAGTTTCTTCTGCATGCAGATTTGTATTTCTGAACTCCCTGTGTTTAGAATTGCTACTCCTCTCTTCCTTCTTTCCCTTCCACCCCTCCCCGCCTCTCTTCTCTCTCTCTCCCCGCCCCCCTCCCCCCACCACGGCCCTTTCCTTCCATTACCCTCATTCATTCCTCCCTTTCTATGCTAGCATTCTTGGGATGAAGGCAGTTGTCTTATGAGAAAAACTTGAGGAGATAGGTCTATACTTATTGGAGTCTACAAGAATGAGCAGAGATGTTTCTGAAACATGTAGGATTCTGAGGGACTTGACTGGACAGGTGCGAAAAGGATGTTTTCCCTTGTGAGGGAACCTAAACCTAAAGGTAACTTCACCATAGTCCTACCAGACCACAGGCTACTCTCTCATTGGGGAGAGGTGACTGGTGGTGTTTTAAATTGAGAGTCATCACACCTCAGGTGAGGGAAGAGGTTGAGAAGGAAGGACCTTCATGATTAACTTAGCTGTTGCATAAATTGAACCCACACTGTTGGGATTACTCTGCATCCAACCAACTGAGAGATGCAATGGCCTATTGGTATTATGCTGGACTGTTAATTCAGAGACCCTGGTAATGTTCTGGGGACCCAGGTTTGAACCCCACCATGACAGATGGTCAAATTTGACTTCAATAAAAATCTGGAATTAAGAGTCAGATGGTGACCATGAATCCATTGTTGATTGTTGGGAAAAACCCATCTGGCTAATTAATGTCCTTATCTAGTCTGGTCTACATGTGACTCCAGACTCACAGCAATGGGTGATTGACTCTTAACGACCCTCTGGGCAAATGGGGATGGGTAATAATGCTGACCCGGTCAGTGACGCCTTCATCCCATTGAATGAATAAAAGAAACTGAGCGAACTGACCCCGTTAATCTAGAACTAGAGACCACAGGTCTCCCACTGAAGAGGGAGATGAGGAGGAGTCTCTTCTCTCAGAGGCTCATTAGTTTTTAGATTTCCCTGCCCAAATGAGCAGCAGAGGATGGGTCATTGAATTTATTTATTGACAGAGCTTTGATTGTCAAGGATTATGTGACGGGAGGGGGTGGGGTTGGTGGGAGGTGGTGGAAACAGGAAAGTGGAGTTAAGGCCACAATCACGTTAACTGCGATTTTATCGACTGCGAGAAATGGCTTGATGGGCTGAATGGTCTATTCCTGCTCTGGGTTGTGCATTTTACTTCTAAATTGTTTCTTGGCCTTGAAAAATGGTGAAAGTGGGAGTTCTTTTGTAGTGGCTGATCAGGGCCAAGGCTGTGGCACTGTGGGTGGTCCAGCTGCTTGGTGGCTGAGGTAAGGTGAAGTCAAAAGAAGTGTGAAAGGACAATCGTGTTTGGAGATTTGTTAGTGAGGGAGCAGACAGGTGCTTTGTGGCTATAAACATGACTCCAGGATGGTATATTGCCTCCTGAGTGCCCAGGCCAAGGAAGTCATGGAATGGCTGCAAGGAATTCTGAAAGGAGGGTGATCTTCCAGAGATCATGGTCCACATTGGGACCAATGGCATAGGAAGAAAGAGAAATGAGGTCCTCCAGTCAGACTGTAGGGAGTTAGGTTGGAAACTGAAAAGCAGGACTTAAAGATAGTAATCTCTGGATTATTCCCAATGTCACACAAGTACCCCGTGAATATAAGAATTGAAAGATAGAGCGGATGAATGCGTGGCTCATTATCTCTTTGCTCTTTGTTGAAATTTCTGTACATATTGGCTGCTGTGATTCCAGTGACTACACGTGAAAAGAATTAAATTGACTGTAGAGTGTTTTCAAAAATGCTGAGATCATGAAAGCCGCTATATAAGTACAAGTTCACAAATATGCCCGTGGGCTTTTGTAGCAATAAAACAATACTGGTACAAACGTTACGACCTCTTCTCATGCAGTACAAACAGTTGTTTCCTCTGAGATTCGGTATTCTTGCAATTCTGTCTTGATGAGTGTAAGGCACAAAGCTTTGAACATTTCTCCTTTTTTAGCTATATTCAGCTTCTGTGCTGCTAAGCAACTCATTCATTTTTTTTTACCATGTTTAAAAATTGCCTTGTTTTCATATTTGGAACCATTCTGTAATGCATTATTGGAATGGATACAATGAGCTGTGGAATTGGACTTATACCTAGATTAACTATTGTTGCGGAACTATTTCAGATGACTTAACACTGACCAGAGTCCAAATCACTTTGCTCCACCAGACTTTGCTGCAGTCTCCTTCTTTGTATTCAGCGACGTGGAATCCCTTTTGAACAGCGAGATCCGTAAAGATGGGGTCAAGCAATTGGAGGCAACTGAAGGAACAGGCTGGTTAAACTCAAAAGTGGTAACGGCCAGAATCAGTAACAAAGCAGCCAGTCATAAACTGACAGAAATGGTCAATTTTACACTGAAACTCAACCAGGTTTGTAAGGGAGACTGAGGCTTTTCGTGCAACTGGAATTGTAGTAGTCCAAGGTGAAGGATTGGACAGCACAGAGAGTTGTTTTACTGTGTATCTAACCCCATGGTGCCCTGAAAGTGTTTGATGGGTCAGTGTAGAGGGAGATTTACTTAATGTAATCTGATGCTATCCCTGTTCCGGAGTGTTTGAAGGAGACAATGTAGAGGGGCTTTACTTTCTGTTTACTTTTAGTGTAAAGGAATATTGGGCACCCTATTTTGTGTTCAAAATAGTAGAGGGATCTTTATGCTGTATCTAATCCCATACTTTACCTGCCCTGGGTTGTTTGATGTTGACAGTGTGGAGGCAACTTTAACCTGTATCTAATCCCATGCTGTCCCTGTCCTCTGAGTGTTTGTTGGGGCAGTGTAGTAAGAGCTTTACTTTCAGTTTAAAAGCATAGAGAGAACTTTACTCTGAAGCTTACACTGTACTCTTCCTGTTCTGGGAGTATTTGATGGGGACAGTGTAGTGAGAGCTTTGCTCTGTATCTAACCCCATGCTATATCAGTTTTCAGAATCTTTGGTGGGGACACTGTAGAAGGAGGTTTTGCTAACGTTTCTTCCATAATGGTGTGAAATATGTTTTTGCCTCTTAAGTTCTTATCTCGAGGAGGTTACTATGTACTCATTGATTGTTCTGTACTGGCGCAGTTGACAGAGGTGTGAATGTTTATATCTGTGGTAGGTGTAGGCTGTTTAACAAGGTTTGTTCCTTCATACAGGATACCAAAGATGACGAGAAGGCCAAATGCGTTTATTGGAAGATAACAGATGGGGGAAGTTTTTGGTCCCCTGAGGGCTGCTTCCTGATTAGTTCCAGTGGAAGCTACGTAATGTGCCAATGTAACCATCTGACGAGCTTTGCTATTTTAATGTCTCCGATTGAGATTGAGGTAAAACATCATTCAAACTCCGGTCAAAGTGGGAAGTAAACATAGAGACAGAGGAAACAGAAAAGTGTAACAGTCAAAAAACAGAGATTGAGAGAATCAAACAGTCAGGGATCAGACACACAAGAAGGAGATTACATGAAGCTGGAGAGTCAGAATAACACCCAAGGGTGATAGATAGCAGGAAAGTAACTCCATTAGCGACTACTGAGTGATCTAGAGAATGAGCTGACAGACTCCTGAAACACCACATGGTGAGCCGGTCTGTGAATTCAGAGAGTGACCACTGAGACCCAGAGTGACCCAGAAAGTGACCCAGACTGTGACCCTAAAGTATGACCATTGAGACCCCAGAGTGACCCCAGAGACTGATGCTGTAGTGACATTGGAGACTCCAAAAAGTCACATCACAAGTAACCACAGAGATTGACACAGAAAATTACTCCAGTGAGTGAATGTGTTGAAAACCCAGGAGCTACCTCAGGGTGTGACCCCAGGTAATGATCCCATGGATGGCTCCAGACATTGACCTGAGAAAATGAACCATCAGCAGGAAGCAAAACAATGAAGCCAGTCAGAATGCAGCGAGAAGCAGACAGGAAGCAGGAGATAGAGGGCTGTGAGAATATTGTCCCAGAATTAACATTGTGTTACTGATACCAAGTATTAACCTGTCAGTGATCACAGTGCAGCCTCTCTGACACTTTCAAGAAACGTTCACTGCTACACCTGGGTCTGGGATCTCTGCTGCAGAATCTCAACAAGATATAATTGTACACCATGTGACATCAAGTGAAACCAGAGTTTCAATTCAGTAAAGTAGTGTGACATTCTCAGGGACAGAATAGATGGAAGTACACAGGAGATCAGCATTGCCAACCGCATGCAGATAGATGGGTTGCTGCATGAAACTGGGCTGAATTGTGTTTCCTCTTTCTGAAATAAATAAAGGGAGAAGTGATAGCTTTAAAATTATTATGGGGATAGAGTCATAAAGTCAGACAGCACAGAAACAGACCGTTCAGTCCAACTTGTCCATGCAACCAGGCCTTCCAAACTCAACTAGTCCTATTTGCCTGTGTTTGGCCCATATCCCTCTAACCCTTTCCTATTCTTGTACCTGTCCAAATGTTCTTTTAAATGTTGTAACTTTACCTGCATCTACTACTTCCTCTGGCAGTTAATTCCACCCTCTGTGTGAAAAAGTTGCTCCTCAGGTGCCTCTTAAATCTTACTCCTTGCAACTTAAAATTATGCATTCTAATTTGAAATTTTCTACCCTGGGGAAAAGACCTCCACTAGTCCCTTTATTTATGTCCCTCATGGTTCTATAAATCTCTGTAAGGTCACCCCTCAACTTCCTACGCTGCAGTGAAATAAGTCCCAGCCTACCCAGCCTCTCTGTATACCTCAAACCTCCAGTCCTGGCAACATCCTTGTCAATCTTTTCTGCACCCTCTCCAATTTAGTAATATCCTTTCCATAGCAGGGCGACCAGAACTGTATGTAGTGGTCCTACGCCTCACCAACGTCCAGTACATCCAGTTGCTAGTATGAGGTACAGCCATGTTTAATTCAGTGATTTCAGGTGATGTTACAAAGCTGAGAAGCAAAAGCATGGGAAGGAGAGGAGGACTAATGCTGAGGGGGTTTTGGGAAGTGGGGGTGTGGAGATCAAGTATCAGAACAGTCAGCAACCAGTCAAGGAAGATCTCCAGTCAGATTTGGCAACCCTGAGCCCCGATTCCAATCAGGAACAGCAACAACATGGCTCGGTTAATGGATTAGTAATTAATTTGCTAATAATCTAAAGAGGTCTAGACTAATGCTCGCAGAAATCTCAGATTTCAAATAAGCCCTCTGTGGATATTTACATTGAAGCTGGCTCATACACGCCCTTCAGGGAAAGAAATCTTGTCTTTTCATTACCCGGTCTGGCCTACGCATGACTCAGCAATTTGGTTGGTACTGAGCTGCCTTCTGAAATGGCTACTCAGTTAACAAAAATCAGTTGTAGCTGACTCCATTGGTAACACTTTCACCTCTGTATCACAAGGTCTTGGAGTCAATGCCCATTCCCCATGAGCTGAGCACATAAATCACGCCTGGCACTCCAATCTCGTGCCTGAGGAAGTGTGACACTGTCACGGGTGCCATTGTTCAGATGTGAAATTAAACTAAGGAGCAGTCTGCTGTGTTAGGATGATGTTGAAGATTACATGATGTTATTTTGAAGGAAAACAGTGCAGTTGCCCCAATTTCAATATTTATCCCAGAAGCAACATCGCTGGTCATTATTAGAATCAATGATAATTAAAAGATGAAGGAACTGTGAAATAGATTACGGTAGCGTGGTAGTAGCCGTGCCCCTGAACCAGGAGACCTAGGTTTTAAGTCTCTAGAGGTGTGTGATAAACCTCTGAACATGTTGATTAAAGTACTGTGGATGCTGGATATCTGAAATCAAAACAGAGGGTCCTGGAGAAACTCAGCAGGTCCGGAGACAGAGAAACATAGTTAACGTTTTGAGTTTGCTATGACTCTTCTTTCAGAATAGGCTATCACTGTTTTACATGAGTGAAAGTTGCCAGAGGACCATGGAGTCATTTAAAAGAGATGGCTGGCAGTGAGTTTAACCTGGGGGTGACCATGCCCCAGGCAGGGAGTGAGCTTAAGGAGGCAGGGTTTTCATGGTGATCTCAGCTATTCTGGTAATTGAACCTGTGAATCCCTGAAATTAATACCCTGAATAGTATTAGCTGCAGCTCACAGTGCCACCCAATCTGTCACAGTCCCTGGAACAAATCATGTGGCAGAGATCAAACTTGAGGGTCCATAACTATGATATTGTTTTATACTTACATTCAATAGGAGGAGCTGTTGAGGTCTTGTAAAAAGTGGTTAGTGAGATATCTGATCCATTGTTTCTAATTTTCAAAGTTTTCTGCATTTGGGGAAGGGCCGTTCACTGTAAGATATTGAATGTAACTCAAGTAAAAGCAAAACACTACAATGATGAAAATCTGAAACAAACACAGAAAATGCTGGAGAAACTCAGCAGTTCTGGCAGCTTTTACAGAGATAGAAACTGTTAAAGTTTTGAATCTGGTATGACTCCTGTTTAGAACGGTAAATGTAACACCATTATTCAAAACAGGAGGAAGGCAGAAAGCAGGAAACTAAAAGCCAGTTAATTTAACATACGTCAGAGGGAAGATATGAGAAGCTATTATAAAAGATGCTACAGCAAAATTTCAAAAAATTTAAGATAATCAGGCATTTGTGAAACGGAAATCGTGCTTAACCAATTTATTGGAATTCTTTTAAGGATTAACGCATGTTGTGGGTTAAGTGGCAGATGTAGTGTACTTAGATTTCCAGAAGGAATTTGATAAAGTGCTACTTCAAAGATTATTGCGGCAAATGAACTTTCATGGTGTAGGGGTTGATGACTGGCTAACAGGAGTTAAGAGACTTACATAAAATGTGTTAGCAAGATGCCCTATGTGGTGTACCACAGGGATGAGTGCTGGCACCTCAATTTTTAATAATTTATGTCAAGGACTTGGATAAAAAGGTTGAAGATATGGGGTAGCTAAATTTGCCAATGGCACAAAAATAGGTTGTAGCGCAAATAGCACCCAGGACATAGCAGCTACAAACACATATAAATAGATTAAATGAATGGGTGAAGATCTTGCAAATGGAGTATAATGTGGGAAAATGTGATATTATCTGTTCTGTCAGGAAGAGTTATAAAGAAGCATATTATTCAAATGGCAAGAGGTTGTGTAGCTCCAAAATGTGCAGGAACTTGTGCATCTGCAGTACATGAGTCACAAAAGACTATTATGTAGCTACAGCTAGTATTAAGGAAAACTTACAGAATGTTATGATTTATTGTGAGGGGAATTGAGTACAAATGTATGGAAAATATGTTTCAGTTATGTGATGCACCGATGAGACTACATCTGGAGTATTGTGGACGGTATTGGTCTCCTTATTTAAGGAAGGAAGTACATGTGTATGAATCAGTTCAGAGAAGGTTTACTAAGTGGCAAGTCACTGGACTTGAAACATTGATTTTGATTTTCACTCTACAGATGCTGCCAGACCTGTTGAGTTTCTCCAGCAATTTCTGTGTTTGTTTCAGATCTCCAGCATCGACAGTTCTTTGTTTTATTTCACCAGTCTGTTAACTGGAATAGATCGGTTGTCTCAGGAGGAAACGTTGGACAGTTGAGGCTTGTATTTGGAGTTTGGAAAAATAAGATGACTTGATTGAAACCTATCAGATCTTGAGGGCTCATGACAGGATAATGTGGAGAGGATGCCCCTTCTTGAATCTAGAACTGTGGGACACTGTTTAAAAGTAAGGAGTTGCTCCTTTAAGTCAAAGATGAAATCATAGACTTGTGTTGCAGAAAAAAAGGCCATTTGGCCTATCAATTCTGCACCAGCCCTCTGACGAGCAGCCCACCCACCCATTGCCCTGCATTCACCATGGCTAATCCTCCTAGTCTGCACATCCCTAAACTCTATGGGTCAATTTAGTATGTCCCAGCCACCTAACCTGCAGACAAAAGAAAAGGTGCAGATGCTGGAACCCAAGGTAGACAAACAGGAGGCTGGAGGAACACAGCAAGCTAGGCAGCTTCTGGAGGAAAGGAGAAGTCAATGTTTCAGGTATTATCCTTCTTTGGGACTGGATGTGAGGGTAGGGAGAGCTGCAGATAAAGCTGGGGGAGGGGAGTAGCGGAATGATGGTGATAGGTGGACACTGGTAGTATGTACGAACTGGTTGGTCAATGGGAGGGATGAATCCGGTTGGTAGCTGGAAGGGAGAGTCAGTAGGTGGAATGGAAGGGAGGAGGTGGGGCTGGAAAGGGACCCGGGGAATGGGTGGGAAGGTTATTTGAAATTATAGAACTCAATGTTGAGCCCTCCGGGCTGTAGGGTGCCCTGGCGGAAGATAAAATATAACGGCCGGTCTAACCTCCTGGTTACCGTCCATTTCAGCTTCCCCTACTCCCCCACTCCTCCTCCGACATGTCTGTCCTTGGCCTCCTCCAGTGCTGCAGTGATTCAGAATGCAAACTTGAGGAATAACACTTTATCTTCTGCCTGGGCACCGGACAGCCTGGAGGACTCAACATTGAGTTCTCTAATTTCGAATGACCTTCCCAAACATCCCCTGGCCTCCTTTCCAGGGAGGAAACTGGAGCACCCAGTGGAAACCCATGCAGACACAGGAAGAGCGTGCAAGCTCCTCACAGACAATCACCCAAGCCTGGAATTTAACCCAGGTCCCTGGCACTGCGAGGCAGCAGTATAAACCACTGTGCCACCATGCTGCCCAAGTCTTTTCTATCAGAGGACAAAAAGTATATTCCTCAAAAGTGTGTGGAAGAAAAATCTTCAAATATTTTTAAGGCAGAGGTGCACAATTTCTTGACAAAATAGGAGGTGAAAGGTTATCAGGTTACAGTCAGATCTCTGGACTATACATCCTCACACCCCACTTCCTGTAAAGACTCCATCCCATTCTCTCAGTTCCTCCGTCTCCGTCGCATATGTTCAGATGAGGCCAACTTCGACAAGGGAGCCTCCGAAATGTCCACATTCTTCCTCAACTGAGGATTCCCCAGCTCCGATGTCGACAGGCCCCTCAATCGGGTTCGACGCATCTCCCGCACTTCTGCCCTCACCCCTTCTCTTCCCTCCCGCAACAGCGATAGGGTTCCCCTTATCCTCACCTACCATCCCACCAGCATCCACATCCAGAAGATCATCAGACGCCATTTCCGCCACCTCCAGCAAGATGCCACCACTAGACACATATTCCCCTCCCCTCCCTTGTCTGCCTTCCGCAGGGACCGTTCCCTCCGGGACACCCTGGTCCATACTTCCTTCACCCCCAACACCTCCCCACAGCCCTACGGTACCTTCCCCTGTAACTGGCGAAGGTGCAACACCTGCGCATTTACCTCCTCCCTCCCCAGTATTCAAGGGCCCAAACATACCTTCCAGGTGAAGCAACACTTCACCTACACTTCCAAGAATCTAGTCTAGTGCATTCGCTTCTCACAATGTGGTCTCCTCTACATTGGGGAAACAAAGCGTAGACTTGGCGACTGCATCGCAGAACATCTGCATTCTGCTTGCAAAAAAGACCCTGAACTACCTGTTTCCTGCCACTTCAATGCACCACCTTGCTCTCTGGCCAACATCTCTGTCCCCGGCTTGCTACAGTGTTCCAGTGAAGCCCAGCGCAAGCTGGAGGAACAACACCTCATTTTCCACTTGGGGACCCTACAGCCCTCCGGACTCAATATTGAGTTCAATAATTTTAGGGCCTAAACTCTCCCATGTCCCAGCCCCCCACCCCACACACCAGGCCTTGTTATCACATAGCCTGCCACTACACACCCCCGTTGTTAGTCACTAACAGTCCCCATTAACAACTATTCACCCTCTCAGACTGATCGTTAGCAACTCCTTTGTCTGTCCAACTGTCTTTCTCTCTCTTTGGGCTCTATCCTATCGTTTACTCCCTACGCCACCCACCTCCCTATTTTCTGCATATAAACTGACGTTTTCCCAGCCACCTTCAGTTCTGAGGAAGGGTTACTGGACCCGAAATGTTAACTCTGTTTTGTCCTCCACAGATGCTGCCAGACCTGCTGAGCTTTTCCAGCAACTTTGTTTTTGTACAGTCAGATCTCCCATGATCATATTAAATAATGAAACAGGCTTGAGAGGCGAAATAGCCTACTCCTGTTCCTTACTCAGATACAAAGATTGGTGGCATTGCAGATAGTGAGGAAGATTGTCAGAGGTTACAACAGGATATAGATCATTTGGAGGCATGGGCAGAAAAATGGCAGATGGAGTATAATCCGGACAAATGTGAGGCGATGCATTTTGGACAGTCAAGTACAGGTGGAAATTATACAGTGAATGGCAGAACGCTTAGGAGTATTGATATGCAGAGAAGTCTGGGTGTGTGGGTCCACAGATCACTGAAGGTGGCAGCGCAGGTAGATAAGGTAGTAAAAAAGGCTTATGGCATGCTTGCCTTCATTGGAAGGGGCATTGAGCGTAAGGATAGGCAAGTTATGCTGCAGCTTTATTAGGCCACACTTGGAATACAGTTGCATACAGTTCTGGTCACTATGCTACCAGAAGGATGTGGATGCTTTGGAGAGGTTACAAAACGTGTTTACCAGGATGTTGCCTGGTATGAGGGATTTTAGCTACGAAGAAAGGTTGGATAGACTGGGTTTATTTTCACTGCAACGCAGGAGGTTGAGGGGTCACCTGACAGAAGTTTATAACATTGCAAATGGCATGGATAGAGTCGAAAGTATGAGGCTTTTTTTTCCCAGGGTGGAGGGTTCACTTACTAGGAACACAGGTTCAAGGTTAAGGTGGTTGGGGGGCAGTTAAAAGAGATGTGAGAAGCAAGTTTTTCGCTCAAAGGGTGGTGAGTGCCTGGAATGTGCTGCCAGAGGAAGTGGTGGAAGCAGACACAATAGCAGCATTTGAGAAACACCTGGACATATACATGAATAGTAGGGGAACAGAGGGAGATGGATCCTGTAAGTGAAGAAAGTTTTGGTATGGAAGGGCAAAATGTGTTGGCGCATGCTGTTTTGTTCCTGTGCTGTTTTGTTCTTTGTACTCGTGTGTTCATATGTCTGTATGTTTGTGGTGTAGGGTCAGTTACCTTGGACAGTTGGTTTGTGATGCAGAGTGACACCAACAGTGTGGGTCCAGTTCCTGCACTGGCTAAGGTTACCATAAAGGACTCGCTTTCACACACTCTCTCCTTACCTGTGCCATGTTAACCCTCAGGTTAAACCACCACCAGTCGCCTCTGTCTCTCTCTCCCTTTCTCTCCCTCTTTCTCTGATGCAAGAGCAGCCCTATGCTCTGGGAGGACTATGACGACTTAAATACTTTATATTTGCGGTCATGTGAATAGATTCATTATTCAGAGGCCCAGGCTAATGTTCTTCTTTTGTTGGTTTAAATCCCACTGAGGCATCTGGTGGAATTTGAACATAATTACTAAAATCTGGAATTGAATACTAGTCTCAGTGAAGGTCACCATGAAACCATCATCAATTGCTGGGAAAAAAGAAATGTAGTTCGTTAATGTCCTTTGGGGAAAGGAAATCTGCCATCATTACCCAGTCTGTGACTCCAGACCAAGAGTCAATTTGGTTGATTCTTAACTGCCTCTCAAGAGCAATTATGGGTGGTTAAATAGGGTGGGCATGTTAGTGATGCCCACATCCCCTGACCAAAGCTGAGAAAGCAGGGAATTCAGGACAAACCTCTTTACACAGAGAATGATTAGGAGATGAAACTCACTGCCACACGGAATGACTGAGGTGAATAATGTTGATGCGTTTACAGGAAAGCTAGATAAATAGATGAGGGAGAAGGGAACAGAACGTTCTCATGTTGATAGAATGAGATGTCAAGAGATAGTGACTAGGCTTGTATGGAATATAAACATCAGTATGGGCCTGATGGTCTGAATGACCTGTTTCTGTGCTGTACACCCAATGTAATTCTGTGAGAGCATCCAAACAGCTGAGCCCCAGCATATGATTCCCTTTTTGTCGTTGCTGCAGGAAGGCTGGTCCTTGCTGCTGATCAGCACAGTCGGGCTCACAATATCCCTGCTGTGCCTCGCCGCCTCCATCGTTGTGTTCACAAAGTGCCGCTCTATCCAAAAGGCCAATATCATGGTGTACAAGCACCTGAGCATCAACCTCTTCCTGGCACAGCTCATCTTCCTGACAGGAATCCATGTGACAAACAAGGTGAGAAAGCTGGCTCATGGACTGCCTCCCTCAGATAGGCAACTGACCTGAGGGAGATGGTGTGAGTCCTTGAAAAGATGAGCCATGATCATATTGTATGGCAAAGCAGGCTTCATGGGCCAAATGGCCTACTCCTGCTCCTATTTCATATGTTCTTATGAGCCCAGACTTCTCATCCATGCTCAGCCTTTCCCTGTCCTGTCTCCCTGAGCTATCCACTCATCTTATCAAACCTTCGTAGATATCTTAGTTTTGGTCCCTTCTGATTCAATCTCCAATCTTCAGCTTCATCGGTTTAAAACACTCCAGATCTTCCAACACTACATGCAGGCTGCTTCTTCATAACCCAGCATTGCTGGTTAAGTTATCTGACAGCTAATGCCCAGATTGAATAGAAAAATTAACTTTGTTTTGCTCAAGTATCTCATGCAGGTTTTTGTACGCCACTTATTTCTCAAATGAACGCTCTCAATCCGGCTGAACTCATTCTTAATTCTCCTTACTCTGGTTTTGACCCTTGATCCGCTCTTTGCTGTGTTTGATATCACCATCCTTGGCTACCCCGGAGAAGGTGATGGTGAGCTGCCTTCTCGAGCCGCTGCAGTTCGTGTGGTGTCGGGACACACACACGCATGGAGTACCATTCGGGAGGATTCAGACCGAGCATCAGTGAGGAAACAGTGATATATTTCCAAGTCAGGATGGATTGGGACTCCGAGGGGATCTTGCAGGTGGTGATGTTCCCTTGTATCTGCTGCCCTTGTCCTTCTAGATGGTTGCAGTCACAGGTTTGGAGAGTCCTACAGAAGGGCTGAACTAATATTCGTTCTAACCTTGTCCCCACTGCTGCGTGAAAGATCAAAACTTGTAAGGAAAGAGGAAAGTTGCCCCAGTGCCCTGCTCTTGCTGGCATTTTTAGACTGAGGTGCTGGTGAATGTGGCATTTTGTTCCATTTAATATCCTTGGTGAGCTCCCAGTGAGTTTCTTGTTAGCAAAGAGCATGCTCATCCATTGTCCAGTCCCAGATTTCCGCCAGTCCTTCCTTATCAGAGGACGAAGTCAGACACTTAAAGGAACAGAGAAATATCCTAAGGATTGGCTGATCAGTTGCTTCATCAGTTTTGGCACTGGTCCTGTATGCCACAATGAATGGGGACCACAGAGGAGTCTCCATGGGAGGGACCTCAGTGCCAGCTCATGCTTCGTTCCTGTATCCATTCCACAGCAATTCCAGAATTGGTTCTGATATGGTTCTGGAAGTCGAACCCAGCCCTAAGTCCTTCCTGGCCCCACTCAGATCTCAGTCTGTATCCTGCACATCCCTAGTTGGGATTGTGAAGGGAATTCCATTTGCTGTCATCGTCGAGACGTGCAATAAGATATGGAATAACACTTTAAGAGTCATAGAGATCTACACTGCAAAAAAAATGCGTTTCGGGCCATTGCATCGACACCAGTGAAAAACAACCAACTAACAATTCTAATCCCATTTTCCAGCCCTTGGCCCATAGCCTTGTATGCCTTGACATCATAAGTGCACATCTAAATACTTCTTGAAAGTTATGACGGTTTCTGCCTCTCCCATCATCATAGGCAGTGTGTTTCAGGTTCCCCACACCCTCTGGATAAAAAAAATGTTTTCCTCACATCTCCTCTACATTTCCTAGCCCTTGCCTTAAATCTTCCTGGTCATTGATCCACCCCTCAAGGTGAAAAATTTCTCCCTGTCAATTCTCTTTATGCCTTCTTAACTTTAAACATTGCAATCATGTCCTTTCTCTGTCTCCTCTGGAAAACAACCCCAGTCTGTCTAATCTTTCTTCATAACTTCAGTCCAGGCAACATCCTAGTAAATCTAGAGATAACAGTGTGGAGCTGGAGGAATACAACAGGTCAGACAGCATCAGAGGAGCAGGAAAGCTGATGTTTCGGGTCGGGATCCTTCTTCAGACCCTTCTTTCTGAAGAATGGTCCCGAACGGAAAAGTCAGCTTTCCTGCTCCTCTGATGCTGCCTTGACCTGCTGTGTTCCTCCAGCTCCACACTGTTATCTCTGACTCCAGCATCGGCAGTTCTTACTATCTCGTTCTAGTAAATCTCCTCTGCACCCTCTCCGATGCTGTCATATCCTTCCTATAATATGGATTACAGAATTGCACACAGTACTTTAGTTGTGCCCTAAAAGTTCGTGCATAATCTCCCTGTTCTTAAATTCTGTGCCTCGACTAAAGGCAAGCATCTCATATGCCTTCTTAATTACTTTTATCTATCTGTCCTGCTAACTTAAGAGACTGGTGGACATGCTAACCAAGGTCTCTCTGATCCTCGGTGCTTCCCAGAGTCTTACCATTCATCATGTATTCCCTTGCCTTGTTTGTTCTGCCCAAGTGCATCATCTCACATTTATCCAGATTGAATTCCAGTCCATCTGATTTGCCTGTCTATATCCTTTTGTAAACTAAAGCTATCATCCTCACTGTTTACTATTCTATCTCAGCTCAAGAGAGCACCTACTGCTCAACAATATAACTTCCATTATTCCATCCTCCTCTGTCTGTTGGAAGTGTAATAGTAGGTTGGGGCCCTGCTGAAAGTCCTACAATCTTTAAAATCAATGGACTCTGCCCCATCATTATAAATTACACATCAAACCATGGAGCTAGAGATTTCACAAAACCCCTATTTATTACCATGTTTCTCTCTGTGTCTTTGCCCATCTTTGTGTGCCTGCTTCTGACTGTGACTGTGTGTATATTTTTGTCTGTCTGTCTTGGCTTGTATCTACAATCGTCTGTATTCGTATCTGTACCCATGTCTATGTCTTTATCTCTGTGTTTCTGCGAATTTATTATCTGTGTGTTTATCATTGTGTCCCTCTGACTGTACTGTCTGTGTGTTTATCTGTGGATGTCTCTGCCTGTGAGTGTTATCTAAATGTGCCTCTTGTCTCTGTCTGTGTGTGTCCTGTTTATTTCAAAGTGAGTCTGCTTGTTTATCTGTCCAAGTGATCTCTGTGTGTCTTTCCAGACCTGTTTCTTTCTGTGTGTCTCTCTGTATCTGTGTGTTACATCTGCCTTCACAGTGTTTGCCTTTGTGTTTACCGTGTTTGTGTGTCCGCCTGTGTTTCTCTCTATCTGCCTTTGTCGCTGTGTGTTTTTACTCTGCTGAACCTAACCACTTATTCTGATCTTCCCTCCAGGTGGTTTGTGCCCTGGTTGCGGGGTGCCTCCATTACTTCTTTCTAACTGTCTTTGCCTGGATGTTCCTGGATGCTTTGCAGATCTTCATTGTGTGCAGACACCTCACAGTCACAAAGTTTACTCACACATATATCATCAGACGGAGGTACCTGTATCCTTCTGGCTACGCTGTCTCTGCGCTGATTGTAATTATATCAGCAGCAATCTATCCCTATGGCTATGGATCAGACGAACAGTGAGTAATTTTACGTTTAGTTGACATCACAGAATCAACAGCACAGAAGGACATAACTTGTTGTATCAAGCCTCTGTGTCTACTCTGACGGGATCCTCCAGAATCTTGTATGTCTCAATGTTTCACTATTCTGTACTTTTATTTTTCGTGGGGTGTGGGCATTACTGGCTATGCCAGTGTCTAATGCCCGTCCCTAATTGGCAGAGGGCAGTTAAGAGTCAGTCACATTGCTGTGGATCTGGAGTCACGTGTAGACCAGACCGCGTGAGGATGATAGATTCCCCAAAGGAGCATTAGTGAACCAGGTGAACTATGACAAAAAGCAGTGGTTACATAGTTACGACTGGACTAGCATTTTCTTTGAATCCCTTTAAAAAAAACTGTACTCAGCCTCATCATATGACAGCCCTCTCATTCCAGAAGCCAATTTATAAAATCACAGAAGGATTACAGCTCAGAAGGAGACCATGGAGCACATAGTGCCTGCACCAGCTCTGTTATTTCGGCCGGCTCTATTATCTAGTCTGGCTCTTTTACCTACAGCCAATCTCCTGCCTTTTCCCCATTTCTGTTCACACCATTATTATCCATTAATAAATCATGTAAGGTCCCATTGATTGCTTCAATTGACCCTGCCCCCAGGATTGCAGCCTTCCCTACAGTGCAGGGTGCCACTCTGTAACCAAGTTGTGTGCATGAGATGCTGTGTGAAAATGTTTTTTCTCACATCGCAAGATTTTGTTTGCCTATCACTAGTTGCTGGACTGTGTCCCAGAACTTTCGTTCGACCTCTGTGTCAGGGGTCCTCAAGACCCATCTGCTCCAGATGTGTGTAATAACATCTCTGAATATGTTGATTAGAAAATATACATCCTTCCTTAGATAAGGAGACCAAAACTGCATAGCATTGCTCCAGCTGTAATCGTGTCACAGCTTTGACTCCAAATCTTCTGAATTTACTTTTACCTGGAGTTTTGGGAATGGCATTTTCAGTATCAAAAATCTCATTACTCTTCATTGTCTAGGGACCCTGTTGATAGGTTGGCCCTAATTTTCTGTCATAAATATAAAACAAGTCAGCAGCCCCTTCACATCTATTTGACTTTATTTTCATTGGCTCCTAATGAGAGGCTGGAGAAGGGGTGGGGGAAGTCTCGCTAAAGTCCTAGAATTCGTGTATCCTTCATTAAAACGTTACCGGAGCAAATTACTGCAGATGCTGGAATCTGAACTGAATCTGAGGAAAGTGCTGGTGATCACAGGGGGTCAGTCAACATCCATAGAGAGAAAGCTAGCTAGTGTTTTGAGTCTAGTTGACTTCATCAGAGCTGAAGTGAAGTGTGCAGTAGCGGGGGTCTGGGGGGATGTTTGGAGTGCTGGGGTAGAAAGGATGTTGATAGTTTAGATTAAGTCATCAGAATGTGAGAATAGCAGAACAATGGTGTGTCTAACTGCCAAACTTGAAAGAACAAACGGCCCCACTGGGGTGGAGGAAGGGAGAGAGGGTGACAGAGAATGTAACAAGCAAAGCTGAAAGAAAGGGAAGGAATGGGTTCACAGTTTGAAGGTGTTGAACTCAATATTGAGCCCAAAACGTTGTAAACGGCTTCGTTTGAAGATGAGATAACACAGTGTGGAGCTGGAGGAACACAGCGGGCCAGGTAGCATCAGAAGAGCAGGAAAGCTGACGTTTTGGGTCGGACCTTTCTTCAGAAATGGGCCGAGGACAGACAAGTGGACATGTGAGCAAAACGCGATGATCCCATAGCTGGTCATTTTACCACAGCGTCTTGCTCACTTGTCCACTTGTCTCTCCTCGGGATGCTGCAATGCTCCAGTGAATCATAGTGCAAACTCGGGGAGCAACATCTCATCTCCAAATTAGGCCGTTTACAACCTTTTGAGCTCAATATTATGTTCAACACCTTCAAATTGTGAACCCAATTCTTCCTTTTCTTTTAGCTTTGCTTGTACATTCTCTGTCACCCTCTCTCCCCTTACCCCACCCCAGTGGGATCATTTGTTCTTTCAAGTTTGGCATTTGGACCCACCATTATTCTGCTATTGTCACATTCCAATTGCTTAGTCTGAACTATCAACATCCTTTCTTCCCCAGCATTCCAAACATCCCCCCAACAATTGCATAAATGCTACACCCTCCACATTTCACTTCAGCTCGGATGAATAGTCGTCTAGACTCAAAACATTAGCTTACTTTCTCTCTATGAATGCTGCATGACCCAGTGTGATCTCAAGCATTTTTCATTTTCAGTTCATTAAAACATTAATTCATTAATACCTGGTCATTGTTGTAAAATTGTCAGTTGTTCCTACTTTATAATATTGTTGATTTTGTTGTGTTGACAAATACCTACAATGTCTGCTGAGGCCAGGTGCAAGAGATTAATATTTTAGAACATAACCGAAAGTAACAAATAATAATGGGGACTGTATCCTGCCACCAAGCTGTAGTCAAGAGCAAGGCCATGGTCATATCATGTGACATTATATCACTTCCTAAGATGATGTATACTATGGCTCATTTGCATATCATTCAGAAAACCCCTTACACTACAACTATCACATGAGAGCTTGCTGTGCACACACTGGTTTCTGTGTTTTCTACATGACAATAGTGATGACATTGCAAAGGTACTTCAATGGCTGGATGACATGTAGTAATGAATTCTTTGGTTCTCACAGCTGCTGGCTGAGCTTAGAGCGGGGCTTTCGATGGAGTTTCCAAGGGCCAGTCTGCCTTGTGATTGTGGTATGTGTCTTTCTGGTGTTTGCTCACCCTCAAATATCACAGGTCATATTCACAGGCAAAAGAAGCGGAGAAGAGAGGAGTTTTAAACAAAAGATAATTGAAAATAAATGACTGCCGTACTGAACAGTTAGTAATGTCCTTCAAGGTGGAAATCTGCCAACCTTACCTGGTCTGGTCTACATTTGACTCTAGATACTGCAAGTGTTATTGACACTTAACCAGCTAAGAAAGACACCAAGTTATAAAGGTAAAGTTGCCACAGCCTGAATAGTCAATAGAGCTGCTCTCTCACGAGAGACAGATAACTGGTGGAGGTTTAACTTGATGATCATCGCACCTCAGGCGATGGGGAAAGAGTTTGATAAGGTGGGACCTTCACAGTAACCTCACCTGGTCTGGGAATTGAACCCACACTGTTGGTGTTACTCTGTACCAGCTGTCCAACCAACTGAGCTAAACAATCCTGACACACATTCAGTTGTATCAAATGGAAAAAAACTTTTTCAGGACAACAATATAATGTTATCATGCTGGAAGGTACACGTGAGACCAAATGAAACCTGTGTTACTTAAGGGATAACTGGATGAGAACTTGACTGGGTGTAGATATTTTTATCAACCTGTCCAGGCATATTGTGACACACCCATCTGGGACTACATTTTTGATGACAATCAACAGAATTCATTATTTATCTTGGTGGGATTTGAGCTCAAATCCCAAGCCATTTTCTGAGTCTCTGCATTACTGGTCGAGTGACAACACCACTATACCAAAATCTCCTCCTCTGGCTGGATGTGTTACTGGTATGAAGTTAGCAGTGTGGTTTGAGTCACCGGTGTATCAGCTGAATTAAATCGAAAAGATATTTGGCTGAACCCTGTCTAAGCAACCATTGAACTCTGGACGACAGCAGATCAAGAAGACAGCTCACTATCACCTTCTCAGGGCAATAAGGAACGTGCGACAAGTGTTGGCCAGGCCAGTTGTGCCCACATCCCAATGACTAACAGCCATTAAGTGCAAGGAGAAAGATTGGACGACAAAGAACAGGGATGGTTAGGCAGAGAGCATTCTGTGCACTGAGACTTTGGAAAATATCGTTTGGACTTTGCTTCCCAACTTTTGTTTCTCTCCCTCTCCAGGTGAATATGGTGTTGTACGTCTGGACACTCTGCTTACTGAGACATCATTTGTCCACACGTGATGTGAATGTGTCAAAGATTAAAGACACCACGTAAGTATCAGCAGAAAATTCATGGCCCACTGCCTTCAGGTCACAGCGTGATTCACTCCCACCCAGTAGCAGTGGCTGAAATGAGATCACCCTGCAATGGTCCATTCTACCTTTCTCTTGAGAGGTCGATGGTGCAGGGCTGGGGTTAGACCCCAATGCCGTGCAGAGGGAGTGCTTCACTATCAGAGGTACCCTCTTTCAGATGAAGCATCAAACTGAAGACCAGTCTGCTCTTTCAGCTGCATGTAAAACATCTATTGCACAATTGCAACAAAACATCTCCCTAATGTCCTGGCCAATAATTATCTCTCAGGTAACAACACCAAACATAGATGTTCACAATGCTATTGACAGGAACTTTCTGCATGCAAATTAGCTGCCACGTTTCCTGTATTGCAACAGTGTCAACACAGCAGAGTTTTTCAAAGGCTACTGTGCTCTTTGGAAACTCCTTGAGGTTGTGAAAGGCAGTGTACAAATGGGTGCCTTTTTCTTAATTGTGATGAGGTGGATTAACATGAATGTTCTTTTATTTTGTGCCTTTTGTCAGGACCCTGACCCTTAAGGCAGCTGCACGGTTGTTTGTCCTGGGAATCACTTGGATCCTTGGACTATTTCATTTCAACGAGAGCACCAACTTCCTCTCCTACCTATTCACTATCATCAACACTCTCCAGGGCCTCTTTATTTTCGTGGTCTACTGTATTTCCAATCGCCAGGTAAGACTGACTCCTTTACAGGTGGAGCGACTGGAGACTCTCCAAACCCTGCTATATTTGTCGAACAGGAAAGGATAGGTTTATCAGTGGAACTGGGTGTGGGTCAGATATTAGCTGTGTGGCAAAGTGATTGTCCAGTAACTGTCACTGCCAACAGTCTGATGAATAGTTAACAGTAGGTAGCAACCTGAATCCATTTAATTTTGGTAAAAGACACAAAGATCCATCATGTAATATAGAATTAAATAAAAGTTCACTGCACATACAGATCATTTAGCCCAGCTAGTCTGTACTGCTATTTATGTTCCATCTACCCCTGTTCATCATAGCTCGTAACCCGATAGAAACTTACAGCACTGAAGGAGCCATCCAGCCCATCGTGTCCTCCCAGTCACAAAGTTCTGACTGCATTAATCCCACTTTTCAGCTCTTGGCCCAGTGTCATGATGGCTACAGCAATGCAAGTGAATATTAAATACTGCTTCAATGTTACAAGAGTTTCTGACTCAACCACCCTTTAGGCAGTAACATCCAGACTCCCACCACTCTCTGGATAACAAACATTTCTCCTCAACTCTCCTGTGAGCCTGCTACTTCTTAACCTTAAATCTACACCCCCTGGTAATTGACCTCTCTACTAATGGGAAGAAGCACTTTCCTATCCACCTTATCCACGCCCCACATAATCTGATGCACCTCTATCAGGTTCCCTCTCAACCTTTGCTGCTCCAAGGAAAAGAAGCCCAGCATCTCCAGTCTTTCCTCAAAGCTCAGGTGTTCCAGCTGAGGCAACATCCTTGTGAGTCTCCTCCCAGCCCTCTTTAGTGCAATCACATCCTTCCTACAATGTGAAAACCAGAATGACATGCAATACTCTCTTCGTGGTTTAACCAGTGTTTTATACAGTTCCAACTGAACCTCCTTGCTCTTGTATTCTGTCTTAGCTAATAAAAGCATGTATCCCACATGCTCCATGCTCTGCTATCCTCACAGACCAGTGCTTGCCCACAAGAAGGTCTCTCTCATCTTCTGAAGTTCTGAAGAGTCAGACCGGATATTGAAACATTAATCTGATTCTTCTCCACAGATGCTGCTGGAGCTGTTGAGTTTCTCCAACATTTTCTGTGTTTGTTCCCTTTGATTTTCAGCACTTTCCAGGGTCCTACCATTTATAATCGCTTGCCTTGTTCGCCCTCCCCAAGTGTATTACTTCACACATTTCTGGGTTAAATTCCTTTTGCCACTGCTCTGCCCAGCTGTCCAGTCCATTGATATCCTCCTGCAGTTTACAGCTAGCCCCCTCATTACTTACCACGACACCAATTTCCATGTCATCGCCAAATTTCCTGATCATACCTCCTATATTTAAGTTCAAATCAACAGTGTACACTAAACAGCAACATCCCTGTGGAATCTCACTGGTGACAGATTTCCAACCACAGAAACGTCTCTCTAGTATCTCCATCTGCTTTCTATGTCTCAGCCAGTTTTGGATCCAACATGCCAGTTTGCCTTGGATCTCATGATACTTTCTCGACAGTTTGCCATGAGGAACTTTATCAGATGCCTTGCTAAAGTCTGTGCAGATCACATCAGAAACCCTCATCAACACTCATGGTTAATTGGTTAACTCCTCAAAAAATTCGATCAATTTTGCCAAACACAAAGTTCCCTTAAACAAATCCTTGCTGACTATCCCTGATTAATCTGTGTCTACAAGTACAGATACATTCTGTACCTTAGAATTCTTTCTCGTAACTTCCCCACCACCAAGGCTAGACTGGCCGGCCTGTATTTTTGATACAGAGTTAGAGCTAGGGTTATTATAAATAAATAAACATGATACTAAATTGGGGGAGGACAAATTATGTCAGTATTAGGCAGGAGGTAGGGGGTGTTAATTGGGAGGAGCTTTTATCAGGCAAGTCCTCATTTGAAATGTGGGAATTGTTTACAGACCTGTTGATGAGAGTTCAGGACTGCCATGTTCCAGTAAAGAAGAACGGCAAGGATGGCAAGATAAAGGACCCTTGGCTAACAAGGGATGTTATGAATTTAGTCAAAAGGGAAAAAGAAGCATATGTAAGGTTTAGGAACCTAAAATTGGACAGGGCCCATGAGGAATATAAAGAAACCAAGAAGGAACTTAAGCAGGGAATTGAGACAGCAAGAAGAGGTCATGAAATGACCTTGGTGAGTAGGATTAAAGAGGATCCCAAGGCATTCTATACATATGCTAAAAATAAGACGATGAGTAGAGAGAAGGTAGGATCACTCAAGAATAAAGGAAGGAACTTGTGCTTGGAGGCAGAGGATGTGGGTGAGATCCTAAATGAGTACTTTGCGTCAGTATTCACCCAGGAGAAGGATATGGAGGATAGTAAGATTTGCGTGGAGCATGCTAATATGCTAGGCATTTTGAGATCAAGAAAGAAGTGGTGTTTGACCTCTTGAAGGGCATTAAGGTGATAAGTTCCCAGGGCCTGGTGGTATCTACCCCAGGTTATTTCGAGAGACAAGAGAGGAGATTGTTGGGGGCTTGACCAAGATCTTTGTAACTGCACTGCAGGGGTTCCCAGAGGACTGGTGAGTAGTTAATGTTGTTCCTGTATTCAAGAAGGGGAATAGGAATAATCCAGGAAACTGTAGACCAATGAGTCTCACATCGGTGGTTGGGAGGCTATTGGAGAGAATTCTTAAGGATAGGATTTACACACGTTTGAAAAGCATGGTCTAATTAGGGACAGTCAGCATGGCTTTGTGCAGGGCAGGCCACGTCTTACTGACTTGATTGAATTTTTCAAGGAGATGACAAAGGTGATCGATAAGGGTAGAGCAGTGGATGCTGTCTGCATGGATTTTAGTAAGGCTTTCAGCAAGATCCCTCATGGTAGGCTCACCCAGAAGATTAAGTTGCACAGGATTCACCGTGACTTGCCGTGTGCATTCAGAATTGGACTGCCTATAGAAGGCAGAGTGTGGTGGTGGAGCGTCAATTTTCAGGCTGGAGGTCCATGACTAGTGGTGTTTCGTGGGGATCCATACTGGGATCTCTGCTGTTTGTCATATATATAAATGACTTGAATGAGAATGTAGATGGGTGGGTTAGTAAGTTTGCAGACAGTACAAAGATTGGTGAAATTGTGGGGTCAGTGGGATCTAGATAAGTTGCAGTTGGAGAAATGGCAGATGGAGTTTAATCCATGTAAGTGTGAGGCGCTGCACTTTGGGAGATAAAATATTAAGGAAAAGTGTACAGTTAAGGCCAGGACCCTGAACAGCATCGTTGTACAGAGGGATCTTGGGGTTCAAGTCCATAGCTCCTTGGGGTGGTAAAGAAGGCATATGGCATTCTTTCCTTTATTGCTCGGGGAATTGAATACAAGAGTTGGGATGTCACGTTGCAGTTTTATAAGCCTTTGGTTAGACCACACTTAGAATACTGCATTCAATTCTGGTCGTCACATTACAGGAAGGATGTGGAGGCTTTGGAGAAGGTGCAGAAGATGTTTACTAGGATACTGCCTGGATTAGAGGTTATGAGCAATAAGGAGAGGCTAGAAACACTTGGGTTGTTTTCTATGGAGCGGCAGAGACTTGATAGAAGTCTATAAAATTATGAGATGCATAGTTAGGGTTGATGGTCAGAATCATTTTCCCAGAGTTGAAATATCTTAGACTAGCTGGCATGCATTTAAGGTGAGAAGGAGTAAGTTCACAGGAGATGTAAGGGGCAAGTTTTTTATTCAGAGAATGGTAGGAGTGTGGAATGTGCTGCCAGGGTGGTGGTGGACACAGATACAACAAGGGCATTTAAGAGACCAAGGGCAGGCAGAAGGGATTAGTTTAATTTGGCGACAGGTTTGGCACAACTTCGTGGGCTGAAGGGCCCATTCCTGTGCTGTGCAGTTCTATGTTCTCTAAACTTCAGTTCGTTTCAACCTCATGTGCATGTCTAGTTTTCCTTTGATTGCATCTACACAAGTCACCTCAACTATACTTTATTATAGCAAGCTCCAAATTCTCACTATTTCTCCTGATTTCTGTTGTGTTTATCATGTGAATTGACTTGGGCATCTTTTACTGCACCATTATGGGCGTTATATAATTGTAGTTAGTTGTTATGTAGGTAGCATGCGACAATCCTTCATGATCATTGCTCCTGACTTTTAAGATTTGCAAAGGATGCTTTATCATGTGACCTGTCCTACTTTAGCTGATTTTTTTTATTATTCCAGGGCACAGGTGTCTTCCTGCTGTATGCCCATAACAACGTCTGAAGTCTGAGATGGCTTACCCCAACCCCTGGCACTATTTCAATGCAATGAACTGGAGTCATGTTTTACCTGAACTAGTGGGAACATTTACTGCTTTCATACAAAATGCGACACAATGGAGTTACATGGCATACATGTGCTATATAAATGTAGTTACTTCGCTTCACAGCAGTGCCTGTCCAACATTTTGCAAAGTTATCTTATAATGTATTAGAAAGTAATTGCACTGGGCAAAGGCCATTCAGTCCAACTGGTGTATGCCAGTATTTAAATTCCACAAAAACCTATTCCTACCACTTCTTGTTTAATTCCACTAATAGAGCCTTCTACTCCCTTCTCACTTGTGTTTTAACCAGCTTTCCCTTAACTGTACGCCTCAAATATTCCCTGTTGTGGTCAGCCCACATTCTCCCCATTTTTTGGATAAAGACATTTGTCCTGAATTGTCTTGTGGCTTTATCTTAGTTGAGTATTGCTGAAAAATGACACACTATGGCAAAGCTTTTCCACATGCCCTCGTCAGGGCATTTTGCAAGAATACCAATATGAACATTTTATACGGTGAGCGAGGAGAGTGCTGATTGGTTGTCAAGTGGAATTATATGTGTACATGTTGTTTACATTTAGTTGTTCTTCACTTTATATTTTTGTGGCCCCTACTTCTTGCCTTGCCTGCAAGCTCTACCATCTCCTCCAAGTTTGCCCTATGAAACCCTTTCATAATCTTGGACACCTCCATCAGGTCATTGTAGTAAGATCAAGTCTGCAATCATGCAAATGAACATTAATATGCCTCATTAAAGATAGCTGTATACAACAGAAAAGAGGAATCTTCTAGAACTTTACAGTCAGGCTCCAATCCCATGTCACCTGACATGACAATGACACAGCTCCTTGGGCACATGCTCTGTAGGTATTCCACGAATAAAAGTACAATTCTCTTTACTCAACAGTCACCCTCTAACCTGCTCTGTTCTGGGGAAACCAGACCCAAACTCATCAATATTCCCTGCTTAGCCCCACAGTTCTGATACCATCCTAGTCAATCTTCATCTTTGCCCCTTCACCATGGTTTACTTTTGAATCATGGAGACCAAAAATGTTCACAGTGTGCGAGCTGGGTGCAACTAGGGTTCTCCACAGGCTTAACCGAATCTTTTGTGACTGAATTAATTATCCTCATTTTGTTGAAGGTGAGAGATGAAGTTCGGAAATGGTTCATCAAGTCAAGCACACCCTCAACCAGCAACACCTCGAATGTTCAGATGAGTTCTCTTGAGGTAAGAAGTGAGGCACAAAAGTCAAGTGACATGCAATGATGTTGGCTCGTAAGCAGTTGGCAAATCTTCTGACTATGGAATACTTTATGCAGGGCAGAAAGATGCCATGGACCCTAGGCACCTTACCCTATCAATACTAAATCCACTGCAACCCACCTACCAATCCTATCCCATCTACTTGTCTCGACAAACAAAAAATCAGAATTAAAGGGAACATACAAAATGTACAAATATTTTCCTGCTTTTTCCCTACTAAATGGAATTAATATATAAGCATTCAATATTTAATTATATATCATACGTAAATTGACTTATGCCAGAACCATAAGTGCAGACATTATTCTAATGATAAACATTAATGCTATAACATAATATTTTTAAAAATGTTCTAGTCTGTGTTATAAAATCAACACAGTCTTCAACATCAGCATGAGTGTATGCACGAATAGGCTTCTCCATCTTCTGATCCTGCTCTGAACTCCACTTTCTAGCCTTTCCCCCATAATCCTTGACTCCTTTGACCATCAATAATCAGTCGAATTCTGCTTTGAATGCATTCCATGGCCCAGACTCCTCTGCCCCCTGTGGGGAGGAAATTTCAAACGGCAATGACCATCCGAGAGAAGAAACTGCTTCTCATCTCTGTCTTAACCTTTTATTCTGAATCTCTGCTGCCTCATTGTAGATTATCCCACAAGGGGAAACATCTTCACTGTGTTTACCCTGTCAAGACCCCCTCAGAACGTTATGTTTCAATGAGAGTACAAACCTTGTTCTTTTCAACTCCAATTGTGCAGGTCCAACTTGCTCAATCCTTCCTCATAAGGCAGGATTAAGCTCTGAGAAACTAATATTTATCTTGCATCTGTATTCTTCAAACAATATCAACAGTAACATATATTGAGCTCATAAAATAACGTTGCTTATGACTGGAGTAATATTTTTGTGTTAGGTACAGGTAACACAAATGAGCAAAGGCGTTCCATTTACATGAACATCTCTGAGTCTAATTCCTACCCTAATACATAAAACACAGGCTAAACCCATTTCATAGCCTGTGCCTTGAGTGCTACGGTGCAGAAAGCCAGGGACATGTGGTCATCGTACTAACATCTCACCATTTGGCTCATTTTGCATGGTGAACTCTTAAAGGGACATCAATCTTAAAGTTGCATATTCGATGATGACATCATGTGTATGGGAGCTCATCATGTTGCGTAATGTTGAGGGAGTACTGGGGATAGGTTTGGGTTTGATCCTTCATTTGATCTTGCCCCTGACAATGTGTGTTAGTGAATTGCATTTTGGACCAGCCTGCCATCCCATCTCCACACCCCACTCACCCACCACAGGATGCTAGTAGGAAGCATTGGTCTGTGGTCTTTTCAGGATGGCATCTTTGCAGAAACCTCAAATACCTCGGACTGTTTAATCTGAGTTCCCAGCCTTCTGTCTGAGCTCAGGATGTGTCTGTATTCATGGGGATATGTGCAGATGGATTACTGAGAGGTGAAGGTTGTCCACCTTCTCTTGTGGAATGATCAAGTGATGTCCATGCTCAGATTCAGAATGACATACTTTCACTTTGCGTCCCAGTGTCCACAGCAGCATATCCTGGTTCCTCACGCCCCATTCTCAGAGATGCCATGGTGGAATTGAAACCCTTGTCCCTGGAGAATTAGCCTGGGTCTCTGGGTCTAATGGCATTGCCAAGACACCACTATCTCCTCCAAACAAGATGGGACAGGAGTGAAGCCAAGATAGAGAGAGAATGAAGGGCAACAGAGTATGAGCTGAATGCTGCTAACCCATTGTCTGATCCTGTCGAGTTAGGAACAAAATTCTGTGGGAATTCCCCCGAACGCCTATGCAATCCCAGCTCAAAACTAACAGCTGCTCCTGGGACTGCACTGTTTCCCAAAGGGGCAAGAAAAGGGTGGGACCTGGAGGGAGACAGGATGGGGGTTGGAGGTGGAGAGGTGTGTTGGTCATTCCCGAAGAGTGTATTTGTCCAGCTCCCTCTCATTCTCAATTCTTCCTGTAATTTTCTTAAACTCAGCTCTTTTCCCTCCACTGCAGTGTAGCGACTCCAGTCTTTGATCTCCTGCTCCTAGGCCAACTTGGAGTATTCTGGATTCAAAGTGGTGACTGTTCCCTCAGTAAATGAGAGTGTTATCTTCCTCCACAAGGGTATTTATGCCTTACCACACCTCCTTCCTCTCCCTCTCACTGATGGAGTGGGCTACCTGTGGGCAAAATAAAACTCTTGCTCAGGAGTTAGAGAGAGGCATGGATGGTACAGAGGTCTTGGGCCCTTCATCTTCACACCCCAACTGGGTGCCAACTTTTCCAGTGGGCCTGGGCAGATGTGCTTTGTCACTTCACTCCGAAAACTGTCAGTCCCCTCCCAACCTTCGCTGCTGAGATGCCCTGCTCAGTGGGCTGAATGGCCTACCTCTGATCCTACATCATATAGTCTCCCACTGACCGTGCAAACCCCAGCAGACATCAGCATGGCTCTATGTGCCAAGGCACGATAGTGATCATTACCACCCGAGGGGTTTCAGGGCAATTATGTCTCTTAAATATCTGCCAGATCGAAGAGGGGCAAGTAATAAGAATCCTCATTTATTTTCTCAACCAGACTAAGACAACATAACCCTCCTGAGGACTCGAGAGATGACAGTGACAAGATTGTCCGGGGTTTGTGTGTCTGTGTCTCTCTGTCTGTCTGTGAGTACAGCTTGCACTATGTCTAGAAAATTGGATTTGTGTTTTGTTGGCTTTTCAGCTTTGCCAGACAGGATGTTTTTTCATCACGTAAGTTGTTGCTTTTTCTTCATTCTTTTATGGGTTGTGAGCTTCACTGGTAAGGTCACACACATGCACAGTCATACAGACAAATGTATACATGAATGATATTGACACAGAGGCATGCACATTGTCATACATATTGCAAACCACATGCAGAGCCTAGCAGAAACATAGATTTAACAAATACACACAAAACACCCATATATGTACACATTGAAGGTATTGAAAATCATGATCATGTTCCCACCCTACCCTGGGTGTTTCGGCGCTAATGGCAACCCCTTTGGTCTTCTGACTTGCTTGCTTTAGCTCCAGTGTCTCTTTACAAGCTGAATGACAATATGGTGTATTAGAGATATTGGTCTCACACCCTGCATTTTGGATTTGTTATATGCCAAACATGTTTTTAGAAAATTCATGATTGAAGTGGAAATATTGATTGACAGGACTTAAAATTGCAGTAAAATTATGTTTGCACAGAACATGTTCTTGAAATTTTCTGGTCTGTTTTGTAGTTAATTACAATTCTTAACCAGTTGTATCTTAATAGAATAAAGTTTTTTTTTACTGTTATTACTCCTATAGGGACATTGAGTAATATTTATGACCAAATGTGATTTCATTTTATACTACATATAGAGGCCTGATTACAATGGAGATGATAGACAATGTTGGTGTAAAATAGATTCTGTTTGCTGTCACACCTAGTGACATGTTTAAATAGACTCTGTTGTTAGACCCAAGCTGCATTGAACTCACTGCCTTACTCAGTCCTGTCAGTTCACAGTCTTTCTTATCTCTGGCTTTGAAGATGGGCTGGGATTGACAATGACAGCAAATTAAAGGAACCCAAGTGAGACACAGCCGAAGTGACTATATAGTTCAGGATGTTTGGAGGCAGCGTGAGAATTCAGTGCAGAGGGGAAGAGGTGCTTTTTACTTGCCTTTTTTGGCTCCTAGTTTGTAGAGTGTTTTTTCAAACAGAACTAATTGAAGCCCAAGATCAGGGACCTTGCACCTATTATAGGTTACTTTCAAATTGGATGTCAATAGGGGAAACATTTACAGGTTACAAACTAAAAGACCAGTATAAAACTTTTAAAAGCCAAATTAAGAACTAAGTGTTATAGGCCAGGCCAAACCCCCTCAAACTATTTTCAGAAGATCGTCTAGATCCTAACTTTTATCTTATTTTAAACATAAGTGTAAGGTGTTGCATTCCAGATGCAATTCAATTGGTCAGACTATTTGATGTTAAGCAAAACACACTTTATTCATAAACTATGTTAAAATACAAGTCCCAGCTGTTCTGTTTGTATTCTGGAAGTAGAAACCCCAGCTTTTATCTGTAACTGAGAGAGGAAAAAGAAAACAACTTCCACACACAGCTTCAAAATCCCAGCAACTGCTGGTAAGGACACAGTAAAACTAAAACATCCTGGTTCTGTGGGAGATGGCCCCACCCATTCAAGCTGCTTCTGTTCCTACTTTGAAAAAAAAAATGAGGCCTCACAGCTATGGGTTTTCGATGGACAGTTCACCACCTCAGACTTAAAATTACTCTTCAAAATAAAACCCAGGACAAAATACACCATGTAAAGCCATAGTATTGTCACATCTCCCCCCTTAAAAAAATCATCAGCATACAAAGTTGAATTCACTTTTAAAACCATTTAGTCCTACGCTAATAGTACACAATATGTTTACATTACATTGACTGTAAGCATGCAAACGTTCCCTTCTACTGTCCACTTCAGTATGTTTATTCCTGCCAGTGAACACCTCCATCTTCCTACATCAAAGTTGAGAAAACGCTTCAGCAATTATGTTCTGTCATCTTGCCACGTGTATACTTTTCAAATTAAATGGCTGCAATAATAAATTTCGTCTAAATAGTCTGCAATTTTTATCCTTAAGTTTTTCCAAAAAGTTCAAGGGGTTGTGATCAGTATATACAATTGTCTCAGACACATTACTGGCAATATAAATGCTGAAATGTTGCAATGCCGACACCAAGCTCAAGGTCTCATTCTATTGATGATTATTCAGTTTTCTGGAAAAATACTCAATAGGTCTTTGTATCTTCTCATCGTCTTCTTGCAAGAGTAAAGCACCAACACCCACACCACTCGCATTAATAACCACCTTGAATGGCTTTGTGTAATTCGGTGTGGCTAACACTAAAGCAATGATTAACACGGCTTTCAGGCTGTCAAAGCCTTCTGACATTTCTCTGACCACTGAAATTTTCTGCACTTCTTCAAAAAGTCAGTCAGTGGAGCAACCACTCTGCTAAAATTCAGTATGAACTTCTGATAATAAAATCTCTCAAACCCAGGAATCGTCATATTTCCTCTTTGTAGGTGGCATTGGAAACTCCCCAATAACCTTTGTTTTCACATCCCGTGAAGCCATCTGTCCACGTCCAATAACATGGACCAGGAATGTGACTTGGGCTTCTGCGACCTCACTCTTAGCCAGGTTTACCACCAAGCCCACCTCCCAAAGTCAATCAAACAATTCCAGCAGATGCTCCAAATATTCCCTCCATATGTGACTGCAAAATCACCTGATCGTCGATGTACATCTCACAATTGGGTAATCCTGAAATGATTTTATTGGCTAGTGTCTGAAATGTGGCTGGCACAAATGGCATGACTTAAAACAGGTACAGTCCATTCGGCATCACGAAAGCCAAAATTTCCTTTGTTCTTTTGGATAAAGGTGCCTGCCTCTGAGTAAGTCTAATTTAGAAATATAAGTTGCTTGTCCCATCTTCTCAATATAGTCTTCCAAACGTGGAAAAGGATATGAATCAGATTTTTTAACTGCATTGACATCGTGATAATCCACACATATTCATTGGGTCCCCTGTAGTTTTGGCACGCTTACTATGGGTATGCTGCATTCACTGCAACTGACTTTGATCATATTGTCTTTCAACCAGTGCCAACTTTAGAGAGTTAAGTCTATAAGGATCTTGCTTAATTGGAACATCATTCATAATTAGATTTGTACTTCCCAGCTTGTTCCCTTGTATCTCCCCATGTGATTGGAATAATTCTTTCAGGTAATTTTGATTTTTCTCTGGAAGGTAACTCAATAATTTATGCCAATTTTTGAGAACTTCCTCATTGTCCAATTTAATTTGACGAATTCCAATTCAGAATCATCTGTACTTGATTCTTCGTTCTGTGTAGTGTAGCCAGTAACACATTCTCCTTTTGCTGTCCTTCCCTATCAAAATGGCTTTTGAATATATTGATGTGACACACTCTTGTAGATTTCTTTCTATCTGACATTCTTATCCAATAATTCACCTCACTCAATTTCCTTTTGATTTGATAAGGCCCTCTAAACCTTGCCTTTAAATGTTCATCTACCATGTGAAGGAACATTAACACTTTATCTCCTCTAGCAAAATTGCGAATTTTTTATTTTTGTCAGCTTCCTGTTTCACCACATGGTGTGCTACTTTTAAATGCTGTCTAGCCAACTTACCCGCTCTATTTAATCTTTCCCTAAAATTTGACACACAGTCTAAACATGTGGTCTCTGAACAGTGACTCAACAATTTCTTTTTAATTTCAGTGGTCCTCTCACCTCATGTCCAAAACACAATTCAAATGGACTGAATTTATTTATTTATTCTTTTTTGTGGGATGTAGGCATTGCAAGCTGGCCAGCAATTATTGCCTGTCCCTTAGTTGCCCTTGAGAAGGTGACGGTGAGCTGTTTTCTTGAATCGCTGCAGTCCACCTGCTTGGGTTGACCCACAATGCCATTAGGTGTGGAATTCCAGGATTTTGACCCAGTAAAAGTGAAGGAACAGTGAAATAATTCCAAGTCAGGATGGTGACTGGCTTGGAGGTGAACTTGAAATTGGTGGTGTTCCCGTATATCTGTTGCCCTTGTCCTTCTAGATGGAAGTGGTCATAGGTTTGGAAGCTGTTGTCTGTGGATCTTTGATGAATTTCTGCAGTGCATCTTGTAGATAATACACACTGCTGCTACTGAGCATTGGTGGTGGAGGGAGTGGATGCTTGTGGATGTGGTGCCAATCAAGCGGGCTGCATTGTCCTGGATGATGTCAAGGTTCTTGAGTGTTGTTGGGGCTGCATTCATCCCAGCAAGTAGGGAGTATTCCATCACACTCCTGACTTCTGCCTTGTAGATGGTGGACAGGCTATGGGGAGTCAGGAAGTGTGTTACTCGCTGCAGTATTCCTAGCCTCTGACCTGCTCTTGTAGCCACTGTGTTTATGTGGCGTCACTAACAGTCCCCATTAACAACTGTTCACCCGCCCAGCCTGATCGTTAGCAACTCCTTTGTCTGTCCAACTGTCTTTCTATCTCTTTGGGCTCTAACCTATCGTTTACTCCCTACCCCACCCACCTCCCTATTATCTGCATATAAACTGACGTTTTCCCAGCCAGCATCAGCTCTGAGGAAGGGTCACCGGACCCGAAACTTTAACTCTGTTTTCTCCTTCACAGATGCTGCCAGACTTGCTGAGCTTTTCCAGCAATTTTGTTTTTGTTGTTATTTATGTGGTGAGTCCAATTGAGTTTCTGGTCAATAATAAACTCCAGGATGTTGATGCTGGGGTATTCAGTGATGCTAACACCATTGAATGTCAAGGGCAATGGTTAGATTGTCACTTATTGGTGATGGTTATAGCCTGGCTTTTGTGAGATATGAATGTTACTTGCCACTTGTCAGCCCAAGACGGGATATTGTCCAGATCTTGTTGCATGTGAATATGGACTGCTTCAGTACCGGAGGAATCATGAATGGTGCTGAATGTTGTGCAATCGTCAGCAAACATCCCCATTTCTGACCGTATGATGGAGGGAGTTCATTGATGAAGCAGCTGAAGGTGGTTAGGCCTGTTAGACTACTCTGAGGAACTCCTGCAGGGATGTCCTGGAGCTGAGATGACTGACCTCCAACAACCACGACCATTTTCCCATGTGTCAGGTATGACTCTGACCACTGGAAAGATTGCCTCCTGATTCCCATTGATTCCAGTTTTGCCAGGGCTCCTTGATGCAACACTTGGTTGAATGCAGCCTTGATGTCAAGGGCTGTCACTCTCACCTCATCCCTGGAATTCAGCTCTTTTGTCCGTGTTTGAACCAAAATCATAGTGAGGTCAGGAGCTGAATGGCGCTGGCAGAACCCAAACTGGGCATCACTGAGCAGGTTATTGCTGAGCAGGTGCTGCTTGATAGCGCTGTTGGAGACACCTTCCATCACTTTACTGGTGATCAAGACTAGACTGATAGCGGTAATTGGCCGGGTTGGATTTATCCTGCTTTTTATGTACAGGACTTACTTGGGCAATTTTCCATATTGTCGAGTAGATGCCAGTGTTGTAAGGGGAGCATCAAGTTCGGCAGCACAAGTCCTCAGTACTATTGCCGGAAAGTTGTCAGGGCCCCTAGCCTTTGCAGTGTCAGTGCCTCTAACTGTTTCTTGATGACACGTGGAATGAATTGAATTGGCTGAAGACTGGTATGTGTAATGCCAGGGACCACTGGTGGAGGCCAAGATGGATCCTTGGCACTTCTGACTGAAGATTGCTGCGAAAGCTTCAGCCTTATCTTTTGTACTCATGTGCTGGGCTCTTCCAACATTGAGAATGGGGATATTTGTGGAGTCTCCTCCTCCAGTGAGTTGTTTAATTGTCCATCACCATTCATGACTGATGTGGCAGGACTGCAGAGCTTAAATCTGATCTGCTGGTTGTGGGATCATTTAGCTCGGTCTATCACTTGCTGCTTATGCTGTTTGGCATGCAAGCAATCCTGTTTGGTGGCATCACCAGGTCGACACCTCATCTTAAGGTATTCCTGGTGCTGCTCCTGGCATGCCCTCCTGCACTGTCCATTGAACCAGGGTTGATCCCTGGCTTGATGGTAATGGTTGAATGGGGGATATGCCAGACCATGAAGTTACAGATTGTGCTGGAGTACAATTCTGCTGCTGTTGATGGCTCACAGCGCCATGTGGATGCCCAGTCTTCAGTTGCCAGATCTGTGTGGTCTGTCCCATTTAGCACAATGATAGTGCCACACAACATAATGAAGGTTATTATCAATATGAAGGCAGGACTTTATCACCACAGGAACTGTGCAGTGGTCGCTCTTACCTACTGTCATGGACAGATGCATCTGCAGCTGGCAGATTGGTAAGGATGAGGTCAAGTTTGTTTTTCCCTCTTGTTGGTTCCCTCACCACTTGCTGCAGACCCAGTCTTGCAGCTATGTCCTTTAGGACCTGACTAGCTCGATCAGTAGTGCAGCTGCCGAGCCATGCTTAGTGGTGGACATTGAAATCCCCCACCCTGAGTACATTTTGTGCTGCTGCCATCCTCAGTGCTTCCTCCAGGTGTTATTCAACATGGAGGAGTACCAATTTGTCAACTGATGAAGGATGATACATGAAAATCAGTAGAAGGTTTCCTTGTCCATGCTTGACTGAAGCCATGATACTTCATGACACCCAGAGTCAATGTTGAGGACTCGCAGTGCAACTCCTTCCTGACGATATACCACTGTGCTGCCACCTCTGCTGGGTCTGTTCTGGTGGGAGAGGACATATTCAGGGATGGTAATGGTGGTGTCTGGGCCATTGTTTGTAAGTGTTGATTCCGTGAGTGTGACTGTCAGGCTGTTGCCTGTCTGTGAGACAGCTCTTCCATTTTTGGCATTTAGTCTCTTCAAAGGATGCAGGACAGATAACCAAGACGTACTACATGAGTTGAAACCAGAAGACCCCCCCGCCCCCGCACTTCTGTGGATTCCCTAAAGTACACAAACCAGACATCCCCCTCAAACCCATTGTTTCCCTACCAGGCACACCTTCGTACAAACTGGCC